AATAAGGAAAAAAATAAAAACCGTAATTTATTAGATATAAAGTTCAACTTCCATAACAAAATTACATTTTAAAGTTCACCTCTTCGATCTTTCATTTTACGAAAGCGAGTAATTGCATTTTCAGTCTTAACATTCTCTAGTGCTTCCTTTTCTACACTACAAATCAAAGCACCATTCATAAAATCATCACATATTCTATTACGCAAATCGGTCTTCAAGAACTTCATTGTAGAAAAACACCTTTCAATGGTTGTTGTTACGACGAGCAAAACCAAAGCTAGTTTTAATAATTTATAAACCAAAGGAAAAGAGAGGTGCTTCCCGATTTCCACCAACAAACGAGAGAGGTCTACAATTCCCTTCAAGTTGAAAAATCTCGCATCATGGAGCAAAGAGTGATAATAGATATCAAGTTGTCCATTAAGTTGCACCCTTTCTGAATCGTCAAAATCGTTTTTGTATATCTCGCTTCGCTTTAACAACTTTGTTTTATCAAAACTAGAAAATGAGTCACAAGGACTCAATGCCGCCATGTTCTTCATCAACTCCCGTGCCAAGTTCACTAAATCTATCCTCAAATTCTTGAATTTGCATATCTCAAATTGTGTTAAAAATCACAACTTCAAAATGATGTTAATTAGTCTTATTGGTCCTACGCTTGCGTGGGGTAACATAATATCTCGATATATCCACAGTTCCAATATTATGTTTTTCACAAAAAGCACATGCCTTCTTCCAAATTTGTGGAAACCATCTTTTCTAAAAACTAGCAATGCTTTCTATGTACCTTTTACTAACGAAGTCGCTTCCAAAATATTTTGATCTTTTTTTTTAAGATGTTTTGACAAGGTATCCGTGAGATATAGAATTTTCAACATCAAGTATAAAAGAAACACGAAATCAAGTATCTTGAAATATGACAAAATACCATTTGCTTGATTACAGTTAGATAAAGTAGATCCCTCCTCTTTGACATATTTAAGTACCACAACCACTTCTGCAAACAAATTTACCAAACTTACAATTGTTCTAAAATGTGAACCTCATCTAGTATCTCCAACTTGAACAAGAGAAATCTCTTGATTCAACCCTTTTCCTATTTCTATTTCACCAATACCAATTTCATATGCCACTCTTTCTTTTTGCATCTCTCGTATCATATATTTTCTCTTACAAGACCCACAAACGATAGTAACCACCAAAGCTAGTTGTTCAAATAATTCATCAACATCATCATGTTTCTTTACAACCGCCACAACCACTAATTGAAGTTGGTGTGCAAAACAATGTATATAATGTGTAGAACTGTTTTCATTTAAAATCAAAGATTTCAAACTGTTGAATGCACCACTCATATTACTTGCTCCATCATAACATTGTCCCCTCACCTATATATTTAAAAAAAAAAGTTATTAAAAAACTATAAGAAATAAAAATAAAACTAATATCGTATTAAAATTTAAAGGAATAAATATTTTATGATTTCTCACCTGAGTCATACTCAAGTTATTGTTGGAAAATACGATATCAATGGCGGCTTCAAGAGTCAAAGAAAATGTATCCAACACGTGAACAATTCCAATAAATCTTTCCTTTACAATCCCTAGTCGATCAACATATCTCAAAACTATAGTCATTTGTTCTTTTTTGGAAACATCACTAGACTCATCAACTAAAATAGCAAACACTTCTTTACCAATTTCATCAAAAATAGACTTGATTATCTCTTTCGAAAATCAATCGACAATATCTTTTTGAATTGTGGGAGAAGTCAACTTTTCATTTTTTGGAGCATTTTCTAAAGTAACTTTAAAAATCTTCTCATTATCTTCTCTAATCAAAGATAATACTTCAATGAAAAGTCCTTTATTACTAAACTTTTCTGTCTCATCATGTCCAGGAAATGGTAATGCATTTTTCAATAAAAATCTACAACTATGGATTGTAGCACGTATTAGAATTTCATAATTACTTTTTCTCAAGTTCTATTTGCTTATGCAAGACTTCACCAATAGATTGGTTTTTTCTCAATAGCAAATCACACTTTTCTTGGGCCTTATGGTGATAACTTTGAATATTACCCATATGTTTCTAGAATGAGCATATTTTACTCCAATTGTCAAAGCCTTCTGTTATAAATGCATCTCTTCCACCTTGTTCCCCTATCATATCTCCAAACAAATAGCAACAAAAACAATATGCCTTCTTATTTTTTATGCTATACTCTAACCATGGAAAATCAATAAACCATTGCACAACAAAACATCTTGGCTTATTACTAAATAATGTATATTCAAAACTATGCCCCTTTGGTTGACAAGGCCCTTTAATCAAATATGCCCTCCGTATTTCATCTATTTGATTAGGATTATAAGATGTAATCTTTGGCCTATCCCCCGGGGTCCGAAGGAAGATCATTCAAATCAAAAGATTGTGTTGCGTTTGGTTTGGGTATTGATTGATTAGTTTGTGGAACTTGAGTATGTTCATTAGATTGTGTTTCTTTTGGTTTTGTTATTGGTTGATTAGTTTGTGGAACTTGATTATTTTCATTAGCCTTTTTTTTTTGGAAGTTCCTTCACCATTGTTGTCTCCAACATCTAAATATCTTTTAAAAAACTTTTAATAGCAACCTACAATAAAAAAAAATATGAACTATAAACTTGATTTCAAGTTTCAACAACAGTCAATAAATAACAACCTATTAACCTATAGTCAAATTATCAATTATCAAGATATATCAACTAAAATCCCGATTCCAAGTTTCAACAACAATTGAACAAATAGCAATCCCCAATAAAAATATATCAACTATAACTTAATTTCAAGCTTCAACAACAAATAAGCATTAAGTATTAACCCTAAGTCCCTACTTTAACAAAGTTATTGTTAATTTCTAATTTTTCAGACATAATAACAAAAAATTTGAATTATAATTAACATGAAAACATAATAGGGATGAGTATTTTGGTTATACTAACTTGTTTAATTGTGATGGAATATCTGAGGAGCGGAAGAGGTGCCTGAAATTTTGGAATTAAGATTTAAGAATTAAGAATGGTCGTTCATGTCTCCACGATTGCAGCAAGGCCGCAAGGCAGAAAACGATTGTGAAGTCGGCAATTGAGAAGACACGCATGTAAGAAAGTGACGATCGGAATATGGAGATTACATGTTTTTTTAATTGGACTATTGGGCTTAAATCTTAATACCTCTTTGTTTCAATGACTCAATTGGTGTGGGCTTAAAAATTTTGGACCATTTGGCCTATTTTGTATTTTGGTCCATTTAGAAATAACCTGAAATTTTTTAGGGTAGCCCAATTTTTTTCCGATATAACCGCAATATAAAACGAATGTTTCCAAAAAAAAATTAACACCATTAAATTTTTTTTGAGGGGTATCCCGGGATACATTATAGATCCGCCTATGGGCCTCAGGTAGCCTGTGCTACCCATAAAAAATTTTAGGGTATTGGAATTTTTTTTGAGAAATTTTTCAGTTTAATGCAAATTTTCTGACACGCTACCCCTAAAATTATGTATGTTACCCCCGAGATTTTGTTTTGTGTCTGCCATGGTCCATTACATAGACAAACTCAAGTTAAAACCGAACCACGCCGATTTATATTATATAATTATATATTTAGTGTTTTGGGTCTTCCGCAGTCGACATGGTTGCCATGGATCCTCTGCAACAAGCTGGTAGGCTCTTTCTTCAGCCTTAGGCACCTCAGCCTTCCCCTAGTGTCCATATGGCATCTGTCACACTAGGGGTGTGCCTGCAATCTCTACAAGAAGGAGCAATGAGCTCTGATGTGGCCCTCCTAGTCACAATAGAAACAAACCTGCCTGCTCTACCTGCAATCTCTACCAAAATGACCCTCCTTGCCACACCAACAACACCCAACAGGTCGACACCTTCTATCATGAAACCTTCCATATTTATCACACCCGAAACTCCTTTGCTCTACTGGTCTATTTCTCGATTTCAACAGACTTGAACCGCTTGGTCGCCGGATGCAATTGCTTTGGAGTTGACCTCACCTCTTTCCTTAGGATCTCTAACTCAATCTCCCTCCTCCAAGCATTTGATTGCATCTCTACCAAAGACCAATAATGTTAAGCCGAAACAAACTCTCAAATCTTTTTCTTAATCATACTCAACTATCACGACATCTGTACCTACTCTGAAGCAACATACTCCGGGCTGAAAAGGGCTCTCTCTGTAAACTTCTTAATGATCTCAGCCATTGAATCTGTCGTTTGCTTGAGCGACAGGTACTCTTGTACCAACCACTCTCTCTCTGCACGGACACTACAAGAAAAAGACCCTTTTATGACGCGCAAACCACGACATTCACTGATTTATGTTACGCAAAAGAGAGTGACATTAAAAAATGTCATCTCTTCAAAAAATTTAAGAATTTAGGTCACGCATTATAGCGTGCCCTTAAATTGATGTCAGAAGAAAAAAAAATAAAAAAACAGAGAGGGAGTTGTATGTTAAATGGGTGCCCTCTATAAGTGTCTCTTTATAATTTTAATGAACGCACCTTTAATAGATAGGGGGAAATGAAATCCCCAAAAAATTAAAACCCTGCCTCTTGCGTCTCCTCTTTCTCCTTCTCCTTCTCCTTCATGTGTTCTCCTCCTTCTCCTTCATGTGCTTTTCCTTTTGTTTAGCTTTAATTTCACCATATACTTTATCCTCTCCACCAGCCGACAACCTTCACTCTCTCCTTCACCTTTTCTCTGCAAACCCTAATACGAATCCACCACTACTGAATACATTTTGTTTATCCTTAAGAAATAACGCAACCAAGCTCGTATCTCAGATCAAGTACTCCTGCGTGGAGTTAACCCCGACATGCCAGATGCCGCTAAATACTCTCTCCAAAACTCTCCGCGACGACCTTGAACTCACTGGAAAATTCCTCGTCTCCATTTGTTGGAACGTCTACAAGAACCTTGAAATCTTTTTGGCAATGGGATTTTTGCTATGGATGGAGTTATGTGGCGCCACCAACAGAAGCTTCCAAGCTTTCAGTTCTCAACAAAAGTTTTACAAGAGTTTAGTACTGTAAGCTTCAAGTCAAACGGTGCTAAACTAGCCAAAGAGATTTCCTTACTAGAAGCTGCTTAGGAAACCATGGATTTACAGGTAAAGTATTAACTTAAAACTGATGAATTAGTTGTAGCTTTGTTTTAATTGTTTGCTATCTGTTCTTTTTATGCAGGATCTGTTGATGAGATCGACATTAGATTCGATGTTTAAGGTGGAGTTTGGGTTTGATCTTGATACTCTATCGGGTTCAAATGAGGCAAGCAATCGGTTTATGGAAGCGTTTGATGAATCAAATGGTTTAGTATAAGGGCGATTTGTGGATCTTCTATGGAAGGTGAAAAGGTATCTTAATATTGGGAAGCTGCTCTTAAAGAAAAAATCAAAATCATCGATAACTTCGTATATGAATTGATACAAAACAAGAGGAAACAACTGAAAAACGAAGAGGTATCTTTATGTGCGTAAAAGTAATTAAAAATCTTTTCTCTCCGTTGGGTTAATTAACCCTTCAATTTTTTCTCATTTTAATGCTTTCTTTGTGCGTGGTCATGAGGTACAGAGATTTACTAGGAATGTCCTTCTCAACGACGACATATTGTCAATCGTGATTCCTTAATCTAATCTTCTATTAGGCGAGTTCTTTAATTTTTATACATTCTTTAATTCAATTGTGATTCCCAAACCTAATGAGCCATTTGTTTCAGAACTTCTTACAACTCTTCCAACAACCATTGTTGACCTTGAGCCTCACCAGATACATACGTCTTATGAATATGTAAGCTTTAAGTGTATCTAGTATGAGATTTTTTATATATTTTTACAAATACTTATTTGATGTTCTTGTGAAGGTAGGTTGGTCATATGATTCAAGTAGAATCTAAGGAAACAGAACGTGATGAGTATCTGCAGAGGTTGATGGATCTTCCCAATCAGGTAGGGTTCTTCTGGAAGGATAACTCTTAATTTGGATTTCTTAATATATTGTCTTATGATAAGTTTGATTTATGCAGCAAGAAACTAGCCTGGTGCTAGAGAATCTAAAGGGTTGACTTTTGTATGCCCCACAACTTGTTTTAGGTAAGGAGGGAAGAATTACTTTAGTTTGCTCAAACTGCAAATAAATATTCCATTTTTTTTTAAATCTCATTTATAAAATTATAATTAAGTAATATTTTTGTTTGCAGAGGATGATGTTGCAACCACCTCCCTCCATTGGGACAACTGCCACTAAAGTTCTATGTTTAACACAAGTGGTGACTGAAGATGAACTTAAAGATGATGAAGATTATCAAGATATATTGGAATACATGAAAATAGATTGTGGAAAATTCGGTAAATTAATCTTATTTTAACTTTCATTTTCTCGCTTTATAATTCTAATCCCGTATTTAACTTCCTACTTTGCCAAATCGTTTATATATCAATCTATTAATTTTTATCGTTTTCATATCTTTCTGTTTTACAGCCTTTTGTAATCACACTCCTATAAAGCATCCAGACAGAAGCCCATTTTTTTTACCCCACGTGTTTATATCCATATCCAATATTTACACCAAATAAATTTTTTTAATCTCAGTTTTTCTCACTAATTTTTCAGGTAGTCTAGTGAATGTTGTAATTCCACTCCCTAACCCTACTGGAGAACCAGCACCAGGTGTTGGCAACGTTAGTTTAGTATTTTCTCATCTCTTAAGTGTTGTTTGTTTTTCTTTCATTACATTTTTTTCAACAAACTGTTTTCACAATATTCATTAATTTTAACAAATGAAAGTATGTTGTTGTTTTTTCACACAAGAAGAGGTAAAGTTATGATCATTTGATGCAAATTATGTTTGTCTTTTAGTGGAAATAGAGATTGTATTGCTTTGGTGTTGTTTATTACTTACTGGGTTACCTTCATATTGCTTTCAAGTTGAACAATTCAAGAGATTTGCAGCAGAAGGCAATGTATATGAAAACATATGTTCCAAGATTGCCCCTTCCATATTTGGTCATGAGGATTTTCAAAAAGTTGTGGCTTGGAAAAGGGATGTACTCTTATCTCTGTGAGTTTCTTCTTCATATTATTTTTATTAAATTTAAAATTAGTTATCATAATTCACATACTAATTTTAATTTTTATTTTATTTTTTTGGATTTTTATCGTGAGCAGATCTTAGAGTTTTGAATGAGTACCCTAAGATTCAATCTTTTTCAGCATTCAACTCTATCTATAATCACACAGCCTTATTTGGAATCCATCAATAAACTTTCAGTTATTTTATTTAAGTGATTATTTAATCCTTTTTATAAAAAATCCATGCAGAGTTCTGATTTTGTATCCAAAGTTGTTTATATAGCCGTGAAAGAACTCATTGCAGTTGCCACCAAAAGATAAGGTAAGCAATAATATGCCAAAGTTGAATTACTTTTTAAGAAATAGCAACCTACTTTTAGTGATTTGTTTATTATATCAAACTTTCATCTCTTCCTACCACTACAACATTGAAAACAAAAACAAAATCACATTTTCATTGTTTTAATTGGATATATTTTACCACCCAAGATTTTAGAAAGTTATCAATTTGTTTTCTACAATTATAACGTATTTTTTTAATAATTTTCAAATCTTGAAATGATTCATTTAACCCTTAAAACACAAAAGCATATGATATGAAATTACCATCTGTTCAAGCTTAACCTTCTTTCCTTCCCCAAGAATCTCCTGTAAAGTGTGAAACTTTACACATACAACATCAGAACACTTCATGTTGAAGTTGCAAGAAACAAAGAAATCGAAGCATCACTTGTGGTTTAATTCAGATTCTGGGACAAAAAGAGTCCTAGGGGTATTTTTGAAATATTTAGTTTTTCTAACTTTTATGCGGAGTCCTAGGGGCTACAAAAGGTGTTGGCGTTAGTGATGAAAGACAAGGTTCAGATTCAAAAAGTGTTGTAGAGCTAACAAATGGTTCTTCAGGTATGTAATACTCTAGGCATAATTATAATATAAAACTATAAAAAATCTCATTTTTTGATATATATTTTTTGTTTTGTTTTGTAGAGGATACTAAAGAGCAAATCTTGCAGAGGATATTTTTTTGTTTTCTTTTGCAGAGGATACCCCTCACATTTTCCCAAATTACCCCTTCCTTTACAATGTTTTTTTGTTTCTGTGTATTTTGTGCATCAGGTAAAGTTGATGGAAGAAAGGAATATGAAGCCACTTGATTCAAATCTTGCAGCATTATCAGCAAGATGCAGTAAAGACTTGGAGTTGAATTTGACTAAGTCATTCTTGAGTGAGATGGGCCAAGATGCAACTTTACTTAGTTGGAATTTGATGTATAGAGTAGATTATATGCAAATTTAGATATTGTAAGAAATAGAATTGTATGATATTAAATTTTATTCAACGGATTGTATTTTTTTATATGATATTTTATTTCTATTATGAGACATTAAATGCAAATTTAATTTATAAATTAATAAATATATAAATATTTTTTAGAACATTTAAAATTATGATACGCAAAAATGTGTGTCATCTTCATTTATGACATGGCCTTTCTTAACAAGGGCTTCCTTGATATGCATTGTGTATTATAAACACGTGCGTGGTAAGGTTACGACACACAAATGTGTGTTGTCTTCCTTTATGACAGGGCCTTCCTTGATACGCATTGTGTGTCATAACCGCACATCGTAAATGCGTGTCGTGAATGCTCGTCGTCTATAGACGATGCGCAAAAGCGCGTCGTCTCTCTTTATGATAGGGCATTTCTTGACGCACATTTGTGCGTCATCTGAGCGTTTTACGACACGCAATGAGCGTCATAAAAGGCTATTTTTCTAGTAGTGGGAACATCTCCATAAATTGCTTCCAAGTCCCTACGACTCGCTCTTCATGCGAAAAGTTCTAGGTCACAAACATCCACCAATCATTCTCACCCCCAACGAAGAAGATTCAACGAGAATTTCACTTTCTGGTCTTCGAGACACGAATACATGTAGAAGGATCCCTCCAAGTAAGATACACATATTAAAGCGATATTTAGGTCCTTGCCATCTCTAAACTTTGGAGTCTTCGTATTAGTGAACTCCTGGTACTGCATCGTTCCAACCCTCTGAAGTCATGCAACAGTGAAAATTGTAGTGGTTGCGGCGGCAGCAGCCTGCATGATGTGGCATAACACCCGTCAAACTCCTCAATCAACATGGTCTTAAATGAACCAAATAACTCTAGAATCGCCACCCAGATCATGACGAACACTTCGACAACAATGATCTTATAGATCTCCTTATCACTCGGACTTGTCCTCTCAGTGCCGCCAACACCTGATCCTGAACCTCTGATAGCCACCATGCTAAAATATACACAACGGAAAGATCAAACATCAAGACACAACTCTCAACACACTGCGCCTCCATCTATTAGTTCCTTAGTAGCCTCGATATTCTTTCTGACTCTCATACGGATCATGTGCTTTTAGTAGTACGGTCCCATAATACATTTCACACCTATTCGTATTTGACCCAAAATTCATCTCTAGGTTCTAAGCCACTACACTAAACAACCCCTAGGTGTACCGAATCACATATGCTCCTAAGAGCCGCAACTAACTTCCTAAGTGCTTCTCTTGGGATTTTCCTCAATGATGCTTCCACATTGATGGTTGCCTTGTGCTTGCTAGTTGTACACATTACATGATCAGATAGACTGTCAAATAAATGACTCTACCTTGAGCCCACTACTAGACAAAGAACAGTAAATAAGGCTAACCAAATTATTCTAAGGCTATGTAATCCTAACCGTATACAACTATACAATATACACCTAGCAATTCACATAATCAAATAACATATAAAAAACAATTCCCTTGGCCATAAAGCATCACAAAAATCAGACAATACTATCATACAATTTCTGAAAGAATCCTTAGCTTATCCACTGGCACACATTTCTAACGGTTCACATATCAGCATGTTCAAATTCATCATATATAACAAGTATGAGTATTTTGGGAATCACTTTCCTATTCATGCTATGGTTGATTGTACACATCGCATCTTCTTGTAAAACCAAGGTTAAGTCAGAGGTCCATGTTCATGATCCCAAGCTAACTGGTGATTGTCAAGACCAACAAAAAGAATAACCCTAAATCTTATACACAAAAATAGTGTATAGTGGTAAAGGGATCGAATCCACAGAGATTGGTCCAAATTGTTACTCAGTGTAAATGTCTTTGTAAAATATTTATAAAATGACAATAAAAGTAAAATGGGGGTTGTAGTCTTTCCAATGTTGCAGAAATCGGCATTGGCAGCCGATTAATCCGCGATTAATTGCTTGGCAGCCTTGAACCGATTACGATTAGGGTGCTTGGCGGAAATTGGACAAAATCGATCAAAGTCGGGCTTGGCGGTCTTTGGCGATCCTCAGCAGTCATAGACATGAAATTTTTACAAAATTCAAAATTTTTAATTTTCAAATATTACACCAAAATTTTGAATTCTCAAAATTTTAAGTTTTTAACTTTTAAAAGATTATACTAAAATTTTCAAAATTTCAAATTTTTAAAACTTTAAATTTTTAGATACTTAGTTTTTTAGGGAATATTAACTTTTAAATAATTTTATTAATAATTTAGGGTCCCCGATTAATCATCGCCTAGTCCAATTAATCGCTTATCGTCAGTCGACCGCCGATCAATTTTTGCAACCTTGGTCTTTTGATATATTTTTTAAAGAAAACTAGAGTTAAACTAAGATTTAAAGAATACAATTAAACAAAAGCAAGAATTTGATGTAAAATCAATGAGAGAAAGATAGCTGACTTAAGGTTTCATCACTTGAAGACTTAGTAAATATATCATTAGAACCCAAAATGCAATACTTGTCTTAAATCTATAATTTGGCTATAGAATTCCAAGAAGCTTGAGATTGCCTAGATTTTTCTTAATTTTTAAAAATAGCTAGAGAAGCTCATAACATATTTCCTTAGTTAAAGTTACAAGTTCCATTAAGCATGTAATTAGTGTAAATTAACTAGCATTAATAAACAAAAAGTCACCAAATCCAAGAGGAGTCAAAAGCTTCCACCGCCATGTTGGAGAAAATGTTTTTTGTGATTGTGTGAAGTGAAAACTAACACAACAATCACTTGTTGTTTGCTAATTTGAGGATTCATTACTTAATGAAGAAATTAGCCAACTAATCACGACAAATACATTTAAAATCGTGAAAAAAAAACATACAAGTACCAAGAAGATGTTAAAATGTGAAACACTCTCATAAAGATTCAAGAACAAGTTCATGAAGTTTTTCAACATTCAACCAAGAATTCAAGTGATTTCACCAAAGTCAAGCTAGATTGGTTTAGCCTATCATGGCTAAACTCAAGAAAACAATATAAAAGTTAAGAGTACCAAACATATAGTAAGAATCAAGAGCAGAATGATGATGTTCTTCAAGCATTCTTAGTCTTCTTGAGGCTTCAAAGTGTAGAGAAAAAGCTCCAAAATCGGATGTGTATAGGTGTATAAAAATGGCACACCATTGTTCCCTATATAGCATAAACGAAGGAATTTTGAAAATGACCATGTAGGACCTTGCACGGCCCATGTGCCACTGTGCGGGTAGCTTGTACGGGCGGTGCCTGATGTGGGCTCTTTTGTCATTTGGGCCTCAAATGACTTAGCCCACTGGTCCAGAACGAGTCCAATCAGCTTCTAGTCTATAATTCTTCAAGTTTTCTTCAATTTAAGCTCAATTTATCTTCTCCAAATCACCCATAGCTCATTTACTCTCCTGATCAATAATTTACTCGTGATTGAATATTCTTCAATCTTCATTTAAGTAAAAGATCATCTTCTTTAATTTCCCACGACCAACAAGCCGAAGAATTGCATCATCTCCATTAGACTTCTAGCCCAAGATTCTTTATTGACCTCCAAGTCCATTTGCTTCCCAAG